ATCATGGTGTATGATCCTCTTGATGTATTTTTGAATTCGGTTTGCCAATATTTTGTTGAGTATTTTTGCATGTATATTCATCAGGGATATTGGTCTGTAATTTTCTTTTTTGGTGGGGTGTTTGGCTGGTTTTGGTATTAGAGTGATGCTGGCTTCATAGAATGAGTTAGGATGTATCCCCTCCTCTTCTGTGTTTTGTAAAACTTTACAGAGAATGTGTATTATGTCTTCTCTATATGTCTGATAAAATTCAGTGCTGAATCTATCTGGTTGGGGGGTTTTGTTCTTGGGTAGTTTTTTGATTACCGATTCAATTTCATTGCTGGTAATTGGTCTGTTTAGATTTTCTGTTTCTTCCTTGGTCAGTCTTGGAAGGTTGTATTTTTCTAGGAAGTTGTCCATTTCTTCTAGGTTTCTATGATTCCTTTTTTTGATTCATTATGAGCATACCTACACGTTTACATTCTTGGGCATAGTTTCATTAGCTGCTTAAAATTCTTGTATGTTAATTATAACAGTTGAGTCATTTTTTCTTTTGGAAGTGAGCTGCATTTGCTTTTTACTTTGTTTTGAATCCTGGGCTCTATAATGCCTTCTATTCCTCTCCAAAGAATGTTGTCATTTGTTATTGATGTTGTTTCATCAGGCACTTAAATTGGCTGGACTAAAAATACAAACTCTTTCCCTGCAGCAGGCAGATCCATATCTCAGTTCATGACTTTTAGCCATTAGCTGTTACATTAGTCTCTTGTTGTTTCACAAATTTCCATAAAATTGAGCTTCTTAAATTAATAAACATTTATTTGCACAGTTTCTGAGGATCAGGAACCCAAGAGGAGTTTAACTGACTTGTTCCATCTCACGGTCTTGTATGAGACTGCAACCAACCTACTGACTGGGTTGCAGTCAGGCTTGATTGGGGCTAGATTATTTACTTCAAAGCTTCTTTATTTGGCTATTGGTAGTAGGCTTTAGTCCCTTCACATATACCAAAGACTGAGGAAAGAAAATGCCAGGCAAAAGTGTCTCTAAAATTCTAATGTTGTGATAATGGGTGGAGCTATGCACATCTACAGGAAATCTCTGTACACTCCACTTAATTTTGCTATGAACCCAAAAAAGCTCTTTAAAAAACCAAAAGCTACCAAAACAAAAGAAAATGATATATCCCTTCTGCTTTATCCTAATGCTCACACAGACCAAAGCTGGTATAATGTGGGAGAGAACACAGGTGGCAGCAGGAGGTGGGCATAATTGGAGTCTGATAGATGGCCCTAAATTTATTAAAGGGATTGCATTTGTAGTTAAAGGTTTTCACACATGGAAGATGCATGCCCAGATGACTTCATTGGTGAATTTTACCAAGTACTTAAAAGGAAACACTAATTTTAAAAATCTTCTTTCATAAAATTGAAGATAAAATACTTCACAACTCATGATATGAGATGTGCATTATCTGATAATATAATGAAACATAGACATTGCTAGAAAAGAAACTTACAGAGAAGTATTCTGAATGAACATCGATGCAAATATCCTTAATAAAATTAAAGCAAATCAAATCCAGCAATTAAAAATGATAATATATTATGACCTACTGGGTTTTATCTGTAAATCCAAGTTTGGGACAACATCAAAAAACGAATCAGTGTTTCACCATGTTAATAAATTAAAGAAAAGCCATATGAACATCTTACTAGATTTATAAAAGCAAAAAGCCTGTGGCAAAATAAGACGCACATTTATGATTTTAAAAAGCACATAACAACAACTTAAAAAACTTCTCAGCAAAGAACGAATGGAAAGGAACTTTCTCAATATGATAAAGGGAATCTGCAAAAACCTACAGCTAATATCATACTCAATGGTAAAGGATTTAGTTCTTTCCCACTATGAATTCCTTTTCCACAGGAATAAAGCAAGGCTATTCTTTCTCACCACTCCCCTTCAACATTATATGGGAAGTCCTAACTAGTGCAAGAAGGAAACAAAAAGAAATTAAAAGTATACAGATTGGAAAGGAAGAAGAAAAAAATTGTTTGATTATTTGAACAGATTTTCTAGGTAGAAAATGCCAAAGAATCTACAAAAAACACTGCTGGAAATAATAAGTGAATTTAGCAAGATTGCCATATACAAGGTTAATATACAAAAGTTAATTGTATTTTAGTAATTGCATATTAGTAACAAATGACTGGAAATTGAATATTAAAAAATATAAAACAGGTATAAATTTAACAAAGTATATGTAAGGTCTGTTTGCTGAAAACTACAGATATAGATAAAATGACTCACAAAAGACCTAAATAAGTGGATATATATATATATATATATAGTGTTCATAAATTGAACACTCAATATGGTTAGTATGTCAGCCCTCTCCAACTTATCTCTAAGTTCAACTCAATTCCAAAAACATCCCAGCAAATTTTTATTCTAGAAAACAATAAGTTAACTAAAATTTATATAAAAGGCAAAGCAACTAGAGTAGCCAAATTCAGCAACTAGAGTAGCCAAATTCTTTTTGAAAAAAACAAAGTTGGAGGACTCAGAGTATCTCATTTTACGATTTATGCAAAGCTACAGTAGTGAAAACAGTTTATTATTGGCAAAATGATAGTCATATAGATCAATGGAACACAGCAGAGTCTAAAAATACACTCACATATATATGATCAATTGATTTTTGACAAATGTACAAAGGTATTCCAATGGAGAAAGACACTATTTTCAACAAATGGTGCTGGAAAAACTGGACATCCACAAGCCAAAAAACAAAACAAACAGCAACAATTAACACACACACACACACACACACACACACACACACACACACACACACACACACACTTTGATCCATACAGCATATTATATAAAAACTCAACTCAAAGTGAGTCACAGACCTGAATATAAAAGCTAAAACCATAAAACACTACTAGATAAAATCATGGAAGAAAATCTTTCTAACTTTGGCAAAGATTTCTTATACACTAAAATCACAATCCAAAAAATTGATAAATTGGACTTCACCAAAATTAGAAACTTCTGCCCCTCAAAAGTAATTGTTGAAAGAATGAAAATAAAAAGCAAAAACCAGAAGAAAATATTTGCTGAATACATAAAAAGTAAGTCAAGACTCAAAATTCAGAAGATAACACAATAAAAATTGGTATTTTGAACAGATACTTTACAAAGAATGCATATGATTGGCGGAGAAGCAAGAGAAAATATGCTCAAATAATTAATCATTAGAAATATGCAAATTAAACCTACAATGAGACCTTACTATTAGAATAGCTAAAATTAAAATCTGACAATATCACAAGCTGTTGAAATATGGAATAACTGCAACTCTGATATTTTGATGATAGGAATGCAAAATGGAACAACCCCTCAGGAAAATTGCCAGTTTTATAGAGATAAAGTGGTAATTTCATCTAAAGTTATAAATACATTTACCATGATCATGGTATACAACCCACTGATCATACTCGAAGTACACTTCATTTTAAGTGAAATGAAAACTTAGATGCAATTAAAACACTGAGTGCAAATATATGTAGTGGCTTTTTTGTGATCACCAAGAAGTGGAATCATCCCATTTGTCCTTTATCTAGTGAATGGATAAATTATATACTTCCATATAATGGAATACTTCTCATTAACAAAAAGGAACAAACTGTACATCAACAAATCTCAAATGCATTAGACTAAGTTAAAGAAACTAGACCCTAAATATTACATATTAAGATTTATAACATATATTATATATATAGAGAGATACAATTATGGGTTTATAATATATACTCTGAAACCCCATATATATGTACATGTGTGTGTGTACTTGTGTATGTGTGTGTATATATATATATATATATTAGAATGTATGTCTGATATATATATATATATCAGAAGCAATGAGCAGAACAAATACCCAGATATTGATTTCTAAATACTTTTCTTCACTACAAGGAACAGGTACCTTTGTTTATAGCTATAAATAACTATAAACATATAAATCATATAAAGGCAAACTTTAGGCCAGTTACCTCTCTAAATTCTTACTTTGCCAGTTACCACAGTTTTACTTTTTATGTCAGGTTTATATTGGATTAAAGTAGGTTTGAAACATATTCAAGAAGCCTGGCAGACAATATTTTAGCCAAGGGATCAAGTTTAACATTGCTAGAGATGTCACATGGGTATCAGGTACCCCTGACGTGATGTGATAAGAGCACTTCACCTCTCTGGTATTCTTTCCAAATCCTAAAACCCCTGTCTCATTATGAGAAAATATGTTGGACAAACTCAAATTAAGAATAATTCTACAAAATGCCTAACAAGTAGTACTCAAAATTGTCAAGATCAGAAAACATTGGAAGACTGAGAAACAATCACAGACCAGAGAAGACTAAAAAGACATAACTGTGCTATTGTGGAATGCATTCTGGAACAGAAAAAGGCCATTGATGGAAAAACTAATGAAATCCAAAAATTTCCAAAGTTTATTTAATAGTAATCTATCAATGTTTCTTGGATTTGACAAATGTAATATGATAATGTGAGAAGACAACATTAGGGGAAACTAAAACTGGAAGAGAATTCTCTGTACAGGAACTCTCTATAATTTCTACAAGTTTTCTGCTATATCTGAAATTATTACCAAATAAAAAGTTTATTTAAAAAATTACCATCACATCTACTCTGTAAAGTCCTTTTCTGCATTATAAGAGGAAGCCTCCTATCTTGTTTTGCCATCCTCTGTGAGAGAAAGGAACCACATTCTGTTTTTATTCTTCCTCCTTTTTACCCCTAGCATGTGGACAACAGTAAGAATTTATGATATGCCAGCAATGTGAGAGTCCTCTGGTATACTTTCAGAGAGACACAGCAGGTGCCCCACACATAGTGGTTATTTGTCTCTATAGTTGTCTTTATAATTATATAATTATTATAATTATAAGAATGGTATAATTCAATTATAATTTTTTTTATTCTAGGAAATAATCTGACAGCTCTGCCTAGTGGTATCAGCAAACTTTTTTCATTAAAGGAGATAAATTTTGATGATAACCCATTGCTGAGACCCCCAATGGAAATCTGTAAAGGAAAACAATTGTGTACTATTGTACACTATCTACAAAGGGCAGATGAAAGAGATGGTAGGTGATTACTGACTAGCTTACAAGTCATTTTTTAATCTGTAAATTAAAAGATAGTTTAATTAGAGGCTTTCAATCTGGCTGAGACTTAAAATCTTTTGTTATCTTCCCTTTTCTGAAGGTTGGGGGTTTATTTTAATAATTCAGACTATTAAATCTAGATCCATATAAATGGAACCATTGAAATAGGCAAATCCTTGTGAAGGGTGGGCTGCTTCCCACCTATTGGCCTCAATGCCTTTCAGTAGGTTCTTCATAATGGTTGTAACCAGACTCAGAGAATCCACAAACAGATTTCTTCATCACTTCTGATCTGTATCACCATATGTAGTTCTAAAAGTTGTATTTGGCCTTGAAGGAAATCTATAGATCCTTTCTTATACTGGTCAAGTTTTGGCCCACTATGATCACCTATCTGCAATTCCTGGGCAGTCTTCATTCTCTGTCTGTAAGTGTTCCATTGGTTGTCCCTGATTATTTCAGAGAACAGGTTCATTTTCTTTAAATAACCTTCCATTGAACCAGATGGAGATGTGCACGTGGTTTCTTAAGATGGTACATAAAGAAGCACACTAAAAAGTCAGAATTGAAGGAATGAGTTAAATTCCTGAAATAATCACAGTGTCTGAAAGTCACTTTGAAATTGCCTATAATATCCTTTTAAATAGTCATATTATGTAATAGAGTTATTCAGACTTTAGAATGGGACAAATGGTTCACATTTCAGTTTGTATAGTAAGTCTGCATTTTACCTTTTAATTTTATTTGATACAGAGATTTGATAGGAGCCCAGAAGTGAAAAACCTAGATATAACATTAACTTAAAATAGAGTATGTTTTTCAAAAGAATTAGCCTAAGTTTCCCTTTGTGTTTAAATGTAGAGAAAATCTTAGAGAATATCTTCAAGATAGTTGCCAACAACATCACTGAAACAAATTTTGAACTTCTGTGTCAAAAATTAAACCTGTCAATTTCAGAAACTGATATAGCTATGAAGAGGTATGTATGAATGACAACATGTATTATAAGCTTATTCTCATGTACTGATTTATATCTTATTGCTATTACATAGTTTTGAAACATTCATATTAACATGAACTCTAGTTTGCTGTAAAAAATTAATTTTAGTTTATTATGTATTTGAGATGCATGTGGGTATACAGTAGTAAAGAGCAAAGGCTCTGAGGACAGACTTGCTTTAAATCACAACTATTTTTGTGAACTTGGACAAGTCCCTTAACTTCTCTGTGCCTCAGTTTCTTCACTGGTAAAATGGATATACTTATCTAAGAGAATGGTCATGAGACCAGGTTAAGCATGTAATACTATAGCAGTAATGTACTGGTTTATAGTACATAATCCACAATTACTGTTTTCAGGTCTTAAGTAAATATCAGAATTGTATATTCATCAAACTACTGATTTTTTACAAGAAAGCAAGGGATTAACATGGATTTTTTATATGCCAAGCTCTGTGCTAGATTTTTATATGGACTATCTTCACCAAGTAATTTAATCCTGACTTCAATCTGGTAAATTGCTTTCAAAATCTAGATATTTAAGTAGCTTAAAATAATGTTCTTAATTAGTAACTAAAATAATTGTTATTTTCAGTACTGTTTCATTAAGTGTGAGAGTCCATCAAGCACTTAATAGGTGGAAAACAGGAAGTAACAATCTGTCACTAACCACTGATGCTTCAAGAGACCAACTAACTCGGGCACTAAATATGATAGGAGCATATGAAATTATGGACAAAATAACAGCTTTAAAACTTTTTACATGTGCAATTACATTTTGAACAGTGTATCCATAATAAAAACTGGAAACTTATGATGCACTTATATAACTGAAACTCAATACAAGAGAATTGCATATCATGTCTCTTCATGCATTCCTCAGAGATGATGACAATTTACAGCTACTACATTAATGTTACTATAATAAAATATTACAGACACTGTTTTGTGTATTTGTTCTGTTGTCTTGGAATTATAAAAATGAATTAAAAAAAATAATTCCATCTAAAAATTATTTGTTATATAATACTTTTTATAGAACCCAAGATTTATAGGTAATAAGGTCATTAGTTACTTTCATTGAGGCTAGAAAGCAGTTTCTTTTTAGATGCTGGTTTAAAAACTGAAAGGAATTTACTGCCTCTATTGCTTCTCCTTTAGGAATGGGATATTGTGTTAAACATAAGCCAGGGCCAAACTCAGTAATCTTCTAGTTGACTGTTCAGACAGGAGTGGTGGAATGGACATCTGTTGCTTGCTCATCACTGTCTTCCTCTGCTACCAGAAACCCTCTTTCACATGACGAACCCATTTTGTGTATTTTAGAGGGGGTTGACCTTGTCATAGGCAACTCTCTTCCCCTTCTCCTATAACCACTAAAACCAAAGTCTTCTACCTATCTAATTACAATGTTTGATTCAGTGAAGGCCAGCTGACGTAAGCCAGGGCATTAAGTTTCCCTTGGGCTTTTGTGCACAGCCATCAATGAAGATGCACTCTTTCTGCTGAGGTTATGAGTCTTGGAGTCTTGGTTTGTCATGCAGAGCTTGCAGTAGTCTGTCTGAGAGCTGGGATGGAACCCAGCTGTATTATGGTTTTTCAGAGAAACAGAGTGTTATATACACAAATAAAAGATTTGTTAAAGGAATTGGCTCACATAGTTATGGAGGCCAAGAAGCTGCATAGCCTGCCATCTGAAAGCTAGAGAAGTAGGAAAGCTGGTATATTCAGTCCAAGGCTGATTTAAAGTCCAGCATCTCAGATGTCTAAGGGCAGCAAAGATGGATGTCTAAGCTCAAGAAGAGAGAGAATTTGTCCTTGCTTTGCCTTTTTGGACTGTTCAACCCCCAACAGATTGAATGATGCCCACCCAGACTGGTGAGACCAAATCTCTTTGTCTACTCAATCAAATGCTAATCTCTTCCAGAAACACCGTCTCAGACACCCACTTAGAAATAGTTTTACCAGTATCCCTTAGCTCAGTCAAGCTGACATGTATAATTAACCACCATACCAGCCATGTCTGAAACTAATGATAACTTCAGGACTCTTCACTTTTCACTCGCTTAAGCTTGTGGACCTGGGTTTCAATAACTTTGAATGGAAGGAGACCTAATACAAGAGGTTAAGAACATTCTAGACATAGTGTAGTTTTTGTTATTTTATAAAATAATTTTCTACTTGGAAGACATAGTAAACTTAGTAATGTGAAAGCAAATTAAACAAAATAATTGATTTTGCAGGTTGGATTTAAATAGTGTGTATTTTATCATCTTTGCTGTTGATTTGGAGATCCAACTAAAATATTGATTCATAACCCTAACACCTATGTTTCTAATCCTCCTCTATTTGCAAAGTTTTTCCAGTAGGGATAAACACATCTAAGGATTTATACTGACTTAATAACAGCAGCTGTAAATGTTCTCCACTGGAGAGAAGGTACTTCCATAGAACATTAAAGTGGGAAGGATTTTGGGAATTGTCTATCATTTTACAAATGAGAAGACTTAGAACAATTAAGTGAGATAAGCCAGCTTCATTTTTTTTTCAGAAATAAAGATATAAAGACCAGAAAATTTTCTTATAGGTGAACCTTGGCCTGAAGTCAGAGAGGAAAAAAGCTGAACAATGTCAAAACAGGAAGAGCATTTCATTGTGACCCAGTCCTTAGCATCTCTTGCCAAATTGCTACAATAGCCTTTTAAACAAAATGTCCTATCTTATAAACTCACCCAAACCACACTGCACATTGCTGCCAGATTTATCTTTTAAAAACACAGATCTAAGCATATCAACCTCCTGAATAAAATTTTTAAATCATTTCTTTAAAGCTTAGATTATTCCACAGTTTCTTTAATTTATGGCCTAACCTATGGTCTATCCTGAAAAATGTCCCCTGTGCTCTTGAGAAAGTGATGGTATTGTTCTTTGATAGACTTCTGTTTATGGCTATTAGGTCTAGTTGGTTTATTGTGTTGTTTAGGTCCTCTATTTCCTTACTTATACTCTGATTGTTTTATCTATTACTGAGAATGGGGTATTGAATTCTCCAATTATTATTGTAGATTCATCTATTTCCTTCTCACTTTTGAAGGATACTTCTGCGAGGATTCTTGACAGTTTTTTTTATTTTAGCACCACATATATGTGTTTTTTTTCTTTCAGCACTTTGAATATGTCAGCCACTGCCTTCTGGCTTCCAAGTTTTGTGAGCAATCTTGTAACCTAACTGAGAATCCCTTGTTTATTCTCCCTTGTTGCTTTCAAGACTCATCTTTGGCTTTTGAAAGTTTGGTTATCTGTCTTGATGTGGGTCTATCTGAGTTCTTTGAGGTTTTGCATGTTTTTAATCATACCTTTCATCAAATTTGGAAGGTTTTCAGGCATTATTTCTTCAAATATTCTCTCTGCCTCTATTCACCTTCTGGACTCCTACCAATGCTTATGTTCATCTCTAGCAGGCACCTTAAGCTTTGTTCACTTTCCTTCAATTTTTTTCTTTCTGTTCCTCAGACTTGATAATTTTCATTGTCCTATCTTTTATTTCACTGATTGCTTCTTCTGAATGCTCGTGTCTGATTCTGAATCTGTCTAGTGAATATTTTTTACTTATACTTTCCAGCTTCAGACCTTTTTGTTTCTTTTTAGGCTTTCTGTCTCTTTGTTGCTATTTCCATTTTGTTCACCTATTGTTTTCTTGACTTTGTCCACATATTCCTTTAGTTCTTTGAGCACTTTTAAATCAGTTATTTAAATAGTGTGTATTTTATCATCTTTGCTGTTGATTTGGAGATCCAACTAAAATATTGATTCATAACCCTAACACCTATGTTTCTAATCCTCCTCTATTTGCAAAGTTTTTCCAGTAGGGATAAACACATCTAAGGATTTATATTGACTTAATAACAGCAGCTGTAAATGTTCTCCACTGGAGAGAAGGTACTTCCATAGAACATTAAAGTGGGAAGGATTTTGGGAATTGTCTATCATTTTACAAATGAGAAGACTTAGAACAATTAAGTGAGATAAGCCAGCTTCATTTTTTTTTCAGAAATAAAGATATAAAGACCAGAAAATTTTCTTATAGGTGAACCTTGGCCTGAAGTCAGAGAGGAAAAAAGCTGAACAATGTCAAAACAGGAAGAGCATTTCATTGTGACCCAGTCCTTAGCATCTCTTGCCAAATTGCTACAATAGCCTTTTAAACAAAATGTCCTATCTTATAAACTCACCCAAACCACACTGCACATTGCTGCCAGATTTATCTTTTAAAAACACAGATCTAAGCATATCAACCTCCTGAATAAAATTTTTAAATCATTTCTTTAAAGCTTAGATTATTCCACAGTTTCTTTAATTTATGGCCTAACCTATGGTCTATCCTGAAAAATGTCCCCTGTGCTCTTGAGAAAGTGATGGTATTGTTCTTTGATAGACTTCTGTTTATGGCTATTAGGTCTAGTTGGTTTATTGTGTTGTTTAGGTCCTCTGTTTCCTTACTTATACTCTGATTGTTTTATCTATTACTGAGAATGGGGTATTGAATTCTCCAATTATTATTGTAGATTCATCTATTTCCTTCTCACTTTTGAAGGATACTTTTGCGAGGATTCTTGACAGTTTTTTTTATTTTAGCACCACATATATGTGTTTTTTTTCTTTCAGCACTTTGAATATGTCAGCCACTGCCTTCTGGCTTCCAAGTTTTGTGAGCAATCTTGTAACCTAACTGAGAATCCCTTGTTTATTCTCCCTTGTTGCTTTCAAGACTCATCTTTGGCTTTTGAAAGTTTGGTTATCTGTCTTGATGTGGGTCTATCTGAGTTCTTTGAGGTTTTGCATGTTTTTAATCATACCTTTCATCAAATTTGGAAGGTTTTCAGGCATTATTTCTTCAAATATTCTCTCTGCCTCTATTCACCTTCTGGACTCCTACCAATGCTTATGTTCATCTCTAGCAGGCACCTTAAGCTTTGTTCACTTTCCTTCAATTTTTTTCTTTCTGTTCCTCAGACTTGATAATTTTCATTGTCCTATCTTTTATTTCACTGATTGCTTCTTCTGAATGCTCGTGTCTGATTCTGAATCTGTCTAGTGAATTTTTTTTACTTATACTTTCCAGCTTCAGACCTTTTTGTTTCTTTTTAGGCTTTCTGTCTCTTTGTTGCTATTTCCATTTTGTTCACCTATTGTTTTCTTGACTTTGTCCACATATTCCTTTAGTTCTTTGAGCACTTTTAAATCAGTTATTTTAAAGTTTTTGTTTAGTAGGTCTGTCATCAAATCTATTTCAGGAACAGATTTTGTTGATTTCTTTTTCCTTGAATGAACAATACTTTCCTATTTCTTAAAGCACATTTAAATCTAATAATATGGTAACTCTGGAAATCAGGTTTGCTATTTTTTGTTTTGATTGTTGCAGGCTGCCTCTGTGCCAAGGAAGCATGAGGTATAAACTTAAGGTCATTTTTCAGTATTTCCCTGGGCACATTGGCAATTGGCAATACCAGATGAAGGGCCCAGTAGAGACGTCTCAAGGTCCAGCAGGGAATGGGGGGTAGGTAACTGCTACTGTGCTAACAGCTGAAATTGACCGAAAACTTCAATTTACCCCCCAAGCCTTCTCCTGGAAATTGAATTCTTTCAATAGACTCCAGAGTTCCAAAATAGTTACATCAGATAGATTCTGCAGGTGTAACTGTTGTCTAGGTGGGAAGACAGATTTCTGGTGCTTCCTACTCTGCCATCTGAATTCTCCTGCATTAAACATTTTTGGCTTTAC